TTTTCCTACTGCTATCTGCAGAAGTCGCCTGTCTAGCCACTTTGAACTCTATAGAGTGCTTCATTCACTCTTAGTTCAAGCACCTCAATATCGTCATTATGACTTATTATTAGTGTATCATCCGCTTATCTTATAATCTGCGTATTTCTTGGAAGGTTAATACTCAATATGCCATCATACAGGACACTTCATAAAATGCGGCCAAGTCTTGACTCTTGTGAAACCTCACATTTCTTTCATGAAGGTAGTCCTCGATGATCTTAAACAAATATTCAGGAATCACACTGTCAACCAATGTTTCCTTGACATCCGTCTACCTGGCTGAGTTTAAGGCGTTTCTAATATCAATTGCTACCAGTGAGCAGAATCCCTTCTTCCTTCCAGTTCCATTTCTAGCTGCATCTGCGATGCGAACTACTAAAATCGCATCCGTCGGCGAACAGCCTTTCTGAAATCCATATTGTCTATGAGAAAAGCTTATATATTCCTCAAGTCTTGAGAGTATTAGCCCCTCCAATAACTTGCCCATAGTATCAAGAAGGTGCAGTGGTCTGTACGACGATGTCTGTTCCAACGGTTTCTTGCCCTTCCGGAGGAGTATGAGCTTTTGTTTCTTCCAGTTCTTGTAAAATTTCCCATCCTTAAGGCATCTATTATGGACTGCAAGAAGACATTCTGGATAAACTTGTACCACCAATTTTAATATTTCTGTGGGGATTCCATCCAAGCCTGGTGCCTTTCCGGTTTTCATATTCTTCACTGCTTTCCGCAATTCACCTGTCGTAAAGTAATCAACATCGATGAACATAAAGTCATTGTCTTTGCCTCACACAACGACCTCTTGTGGGAAAGAGCTCTCTTCATCCACTGTGGTTCATTCAGGTAAGATGTTTTGGAATCCATCCGAAACTTCTTAGTCATTATCTTATACGCCATACCCAAGGTTCATTATCAATATGCCTTAGGAGTGCCTTCCAACTTCTACTTTTCTCCTTTTAATTTCTTACGCTGCGCTTTAAATTGCTCTCTAAGGTATAGGTCCGTCCTGGCTCTTGTCGCTATTCTTCTAGCCTTGATGCAGCTCTTACATGCTTCTGCTATTTACGAGGTCCACCAGTACATTAGTTGTTTATTCCTTGGGCCACTGCTTCTAGGCATACACGTGTCACACACTGCTGTCACTATTTCTTCCGTCGTCTTTTCCACATTGTCTAATGTTTCCGCTATATTTGTCCAACCCATGCTTGACAGTAACCTGGATTCTTCTAAAAGGCAGTGTAGATGAAGTATCTCCCCAGAGTTTAGAATGATGAGATCGTTTCTTGCTACAAAATCGCATATAATAGCTCCTCTTGTCAGAGCGTGTTTCCCCTGCATTCCGACGATTTACCATTGAAATCTCCTGCTATCAAAACCTCGCCTTTCGTTGTTTTCTCACTTTCCTTCAATTCGTCGATGTCTCTGAAATTTCTCTAGTGTATCGTTCGGAGAAAAGTAACAACTATAAATTCTCATATTATTCACCTCAATTCATACGAACCCATAGTTTGTTTTCTTATATTTATTAATACTTAGCATCCTATTATGGATTATTATACCCGCTCTTCCAGTGGTATCTCACATTAAGGTTGCCTACTAGTAAGTAACACATCCACTTCCCTCTCTGCAGCATAAGACCCGTGCCTGCTTACTCCTCCCCAGGTTAATCTGTAGGAGACGAAGCATACTTGATACTTTTTTTCTTTTGAACCGCTGCTATAAAGGAGGCACATTTGTTACTTCCTAACAGGTGTTGATCCACTTTGTTTTTGTTTTCACGTAAGACATATTGTTCTCTGTTGGTAGTTTTTACCAACATGTCCGGTTCTACCACATCTGTAACACACTTTTGATCAGGACCTCTGCAATCCGTTCAAATATGTCGAAAGTCTAGCAATCTATAACATTTTGTTATCTGGAGTTTTTCCCTGATACTACAGTTAACCCATCCGATCTTAACATGTCCTGCCATTATGAGCTTTTCAGCTATCTCTTCTCCCACCAACATTGTAGCTGATTGTATTCCTCCGTATCCTCTGCGCATCCTACAGGGGATGGGCATCTGTTCTATTGCTACGTTTATATTTTTGCTCATCGCCTCCACCTCCTCTTCAGCAGTGGCTGTTTCATAAATATCTCTAATTTCTATTAGGCGCTTTCGTTTTAGAGCACTCACTTGAGCTTGCTACCCTACCGCTATCTGCAAAGCCTCATTCAATGAGGTAATATTTCCAGTTTTTTAAAGTACAATAAGTATGTCTTCCTTTTTTGTCCTCCGTATAGTCTTCTTTGTGCCGTGATCACTCGAGTTCACGGTCTCTTTCATCTTCTTTATAATGTCAGCATACGTTTCCCCTTGTCTAGCTGCCATTTTGATGGCTGTGTTTACTTTCCTGTTGTCTTAGCTCCAAACTTCTTTTGCATATTTTTCTTTTCTCCTTTGTTGAAGCTGCCAGTTCTCCCCTATTTGGTCTTCTCTCTTTTCAGATTGTTTTATCACAGCCTGATTTGCTTGCTTTTCCCCTGGTGTAACCTCCACCGTAGTTATCTCTTGTTTATATTTCTTATCTCTTGTATTAAGTTGGGCTAGGTGCCACCCTCTTTTCACTTTGCACGTCTTTATCTTCCCTTACATTAGTTTCCTTCTCTCTACTCAGTAGAGAGTTAATGATTCCTACTTGCAACCTCTTGAACCGTATACTTCAGGGTATCAATATTGCTATTGCTCTAGACAGGGCTATCTTCACACTCATCGGATTGTTTCTCAGCATATTCTTCTCTTTTGACCTAAGGCTTTGATTCAATTCATCTAGGAGCTTTCCTTGGAATTCTACCATTGTTGCATAGTTCCCCATTTTTCTATTATGATATCAGCTGCTATTTCCTCACTTCCTGCTACAAGATTATCCGATTTATTTCCCTTCATAGGTCCCCGCCGGCCCCATGGTCCACTTTGCGGCGAATATGCCGCGCAATCTCGTCCCGCAGTCGTGCTTGGATTTTGTTCCCGCTGGTCAGTAGGTATCCCTGGAGTGGTTGGGGGGTACTTGGAGGCGATCTCTGCATTTTCGACTTCCCAAAAAAGGGTTAAAACCTGCACCCTCTAGGCCTTCGCTTGTTACAGTGTATTTCACAGACACCAAGCGGTCCACTTCTCTGAGATTATTATTAATTATTATAAGAATAATAATTATTATTATTTTATTCACAGTATCTACTGATCGGTATGTCAACCACACAGAGGAATGATGACCAGGGCGGTTCTCTTTCCTGAAGATTCAGATGGCTTCTGAGAATACGGCATGTATTCAATATGACTGGTTTCTGCCTATTGTATACATTCCTGGCATCCAAGTGAATAAACTCCAGAGCCCGAAGTATCATCATTTCGGGATCACTCCTGTAACTGATATTATTGTGGGCACAGTTGTCACTTTACTGAAGTTCCACTGATTTGCGACTTCATGGGCGAGATCGGTATACTTCTGGATCTTCTCTTGATATTTTCCCGATACGTTGTGGGTATTGATATATCGATAAAGAAAATCTGCTGATGGTTTTCTATTAATGCATGTTATGTCGGGTCTATTGCCGCCGACGTGTCTGTCAGTGATAATGGAGCGATCGCAGTAGTGTGTATGCTCACTACTTATAAGCACGCCCTGAGGCTCATATTTATAATACGGTACGGAAGTAGCAAGTAAGCCCGTTCTCAATGCCAATAATTGGTGGACCTGCTTCGCCACTTCATCATGCCTCTTTTTGTATTCCAACTATGCGTGGTTGCTACATCCACTTGTTTGCTTGCAGCCTCACGTCTTCTACACGAGTCGGAATGGATGTTGAATCTCTCAGAATGAGTTTTCTGTAGTTCAATGTTGGCACCACTTGGTCCTGGCTAGCTATCATGAAGGCTTCTGTCTGACGTCGACTTCTGGTTTACTCAGCTCATGGGGGTACCTTCCATGCAGTGCCTTCACTTTCCATAAGTTATCTTCTCTTCTGTTTCAGTGATTGGCTGAACAGGCGGATCAAGCTTTTTCAAGTTCAGAGGACTATAGTTATGAACTGCATTCACTGCTTGCTGAACTCTCCCACAATGTTCCAGGAAGTATCTTGTGAATGATGCAATTTGAGAGCTGTGTAGATTTATGAGATCTACAATACCTCGCCCTCCTCGCGACCTTGGAAGGGTAAAACGCTCAGTACTTGAATGGGATGATGTTTTCGGTGTTGAGTCATAGCGGTTCGAATTGTCCTCTGGAGGTTGTCGAGGTCGGTATTTAATAACACCAAAGGAGTATGTCAGCACTGGAATAACAAATGAATTGATGGCCTGCACAAGGTTTCTAGCACAGAGTTGAGTTTTTAAGAGTTCATGCAATCGTTTACACACTTCAGTTGTTATTATGTTCTTAGTAACAGTATGTTTGATTCGGAGTGACTGTTGGAAACCCAAGTATTTGTAAGTTTAATGGGGTTCAATGAAGGTAATCTTTGGTTCATTATCATTTTCCACATTGATAACTTGCATATGACCCTGAATGATATTCACTATCCTGCACTTATCCAAACCGCATTTCATCTTGATGTAGTCAGTGAACTACTCCGTCACGTTTATTAGTTGCCGCATATGACTCAAGTGTCTGCATAGAGCTTCAGGTCATCCATGTAGTTGTAAACACACTGTAAATATGTAAAATATTAATGAACAATTCAAAATATTCACGTTTTTTTCACAATGAAACAAAACGTTAAGTTTCGATCTACTATCATCTCTTCATTGTACAGTGCACAAAGGCAACTCCAGGTGCCACCTATTTTTCTGAAAATCTTTAATATTTTTTTTTTTTTTATATATAATCAAAAAATTTTGTTATATGAACAGTAACTCACATACTATGGAGTAAAATTGCAATATATTTTTCTTTATTGGACTTGGGAACTGGAGGGTTAAACAGCAGGAATAATAAATTCACGGGAAAGGAAACTTTACACCAGCAGATTTATACCAGACCTTTCAGTGTTTTATTTCACGCATTGCAACAGTGACAAACTATTTACAAACAACACACCCATAATTATCTCTCACACAAATACCAATTGATGTTCTGTAATCAAATAACATTTAATTTCTGTTCAGAGGGAAGCGCTCTTTCATGATCAAGAAAAAAATAGTGACAATTAGGCACCCTTGAATGCTGCAGCAAACTTTATAAACTAATTGCATACTTCAAAGAAGACATGCATATAAAATTAAAAATGGAATAAGCCTTCAAATACTTTATAGCACATTGGAGGTATGTAAAAGTCCACACACACTGCACAATAATCAATACAATGTCTGAATTCAAATAAACCAAGAGTTCATGATTTCATTCACAAGAGCAATTCAAGTCCATACATTACATGATCTACAAATAAATATTTAACTGGGTAATGTTTCTGCATACCAACATCCCAAATAAAATTGCTTTTATGATTTAAATGAAATGTGCAAACAACACATTTTTTCTTTCAATTAAAATGAGATTAAGCCTTCATAAAGAATATAAATTCTTCATACAGAACATAATGCATAATATTCACAATCACACGAGGCATTACACTTGTTGGCCCATTTATTAAGTGCTACTCAACTTTGGAAAAAGTTTGTACTTTCTGATACAGCCAATCGTATGTTCCAAGAGCGTATTCTTGAGTAACATTAAGTACAGCCCAAGAGTACTGCTGAATGTTGTCTGGTGACCAGGATCCTCTAAAAATGAAATTACCAAAAATATAGAGAAATATCAGATGATGGATTTAATTATGCAAAATGAAAGAGCCTCCGATAGAGTAATTAATATACAGTACTTTTCTCTGTAACTGGGAATTGTGGAATTTCTGCAGATGTAAGTGTAACATGAGAATGGTAATGATTATTATTTAACACCAAAGTATCAATGCATTATTTCAAGAGAGCATTATTACGCAGTACTCAAAGAACAGAACTTACACAAAAACATTGGTGCGAGCCCATGTGACTGCATCCTGACCATATTCTAGAAGAATTTTTCCACCAGCAATGCTGTATATTATTCCTTGCTCCCAAACATGGAGGCTGAATTCAATGGCTCTGTCTCTCAACCCAGGGGCCCACTGCTCAACCTAACACACAAGGAACTTACATATAATTGTCCTTTAATTAAAATGCAAAGTTATCATTTTTCACAAAAGTTCTGGAAAAATAATAAACAGAAAAATAGGTTTGCAGACTACAGAGATTTTCCTTATTGATGTGTTCTGAATAAAACTTGGACACCTTGGTATATCGAAGTACTTATAATACATAAACAACTAAAATTGCTGAAGATGACAATATTAATTTTCTGCTCTAAAAAAATCTACTTCAATATGTAAATGTGTTAATTGTTGCTAGAATCATTACTATTTCTTTCTCACATCGTAAACTCACCCATTCAGACACCAAAGGAGCCTTTTCATGACCATACGCATAGATTGTTTTACAGCCAGAAATAGCGTATGACATTCCAGAAAGTAGGATTTCTTGGGCCTTTATGAGATATGGCGATGAGACTTCACATGCTTGACGATAATATTCAGGTCCATTCTTTAATAACCAACTGCAATTGCAAAATTTTGTGACATATGCAACGTGCTGAAGATAAAAATAGAAAATGTCAACAAAACCATTAGCATGGTTAATAATGAGGGAAAGAATTTTGAGGTGTAAATTTTGGTTGTAAAAGGGGAGGAGGAAATGTTCTAAAAATACACACAAAAGGATGCAAAAAAAGTTACTGCTGAAACAACTGTATTAAGGTTTAAACCAGTTACACGAACTCAGTTTCGATAATTTACATATCATTTGCACCAAATTTTATGTTTACAGAGCCCGTAAGAGGCGATTCATAGTACTTTATCCGACACTGCAGTAAATAGAAAACAAACAATTGCCAATTCCGACTGAACTTACTTTTCCCACAGATGCCTAGTAGAACGTACTTCGCAGACACGTCAAACTGCACCTGCACAAGCACTTCCCAGCGTGGGAATCCAGTACTGTTGCAGGCACAGAAAACTTTCCCGAATTCTCTTCTACTTTTCTCCCCCAAATCCTCTAGTGCTGCCAGTGCTATTTTAGTATTGACAACAACACAATGGAAAAGGTAAACATTTTCCTCAGGTCATAGACAAGTGGATTTCTGCACTTAAAGTATCCTGATTTGCCAGTCGGGAAAGCACTTTAAATCAGTGGGGAGGGGAAAACTGTTGCAGCAATATTGTTGAAATTTAAATTGGTTTTTACATCTGCAGATTGACCATTGTTGCTGGAATATAAATTACTGGTGGATTACGTAAAATATATTTCAAAAATTTATTTAATATTGTTGACTTCTGATTAAATGAGATTTTAAAAAGCTGTTCAAGAAGAGAAAAAATGTATTTTTCTGCCCAATCATTTTAAAACACAGAAAAGAATGGAGAAAAAGGTGCTGAAGAATAAAAAAAAGCGTGAAAAACTGGCAAAATGTAGTAATCTCTAGAAAAGATGCAGCAAAATGTGTTTATTTCAGTTCATTTAATCCCTCCAAATACATATATTCAGCCATCTGTATGAAAACAGCTATATTTTTGAAAAAGTGTTGCACCTTAAAATCTTTTCCCTATTAGTAATATTTAGAGAATGAAGAAGTGAGAAAAAGACGTGAGATGAAGAACAAAAAACAGATTGATTAAAAGTGAAAAGGAATGAAACAATCAGAAAAAAAAAAACAAAAAAAACAACAAAGTGCATAAAAGAAATGATTACAGTGAGCAGTCACAACTTACCGAAGTAATTATAAGAATAAGCAATAAAGTGACGACAAACTCACGTGTAAGATTGTTGACTATATGACTGAGTTTGACTCCATCCATCCTCAACATAAGGCAGAGCACCAATGTCTCGCAGCAAATGTCCAGTGCTTGATTCTGTTACAACAATAACCACATTTTCTAAAGAAAAATATACAATTGCAGATGTTTATAAGTTGTCCTTCAGAGTAAAATATTAGAAGCTCATTTAGTTCAGGCAATAACCATTGTTTGTGGTATGTAAAATATTACTGGCAATACATTAAGTACTAAAAACTCTAGTAATGAATCAGTTCATGAATTTATTAAGCCCTATAGGATTATTATAGTAAATCAACGTAACAAATAGGCTACATGTGTAGTATCTTTTAGTTGTACACTTTTAGGATACTTTATTAAATGAATAAATATTTTTTAAATCATATTGTTGAAAACTATAAACTTATAATACAACAAAAAATTAATTTTATACATATTTAGTACAGCAGGCACAACTCAAATAACATTAATTCAAAATTTATGAATGACTGTGTTTCCCTATAATAAGGCACTTCTGCTTATTTGCAAAAATTAATGTATTTATATTCTTTATTCACATGTAAACAAGTGAGATTTAGTTAATAATTCATGAGAGTAATTACCTGTAGAGTTCACATGCACTAGGAACATTTGTGATTATTGAAGCGAGTAATGTTGATTTTTTGTTTGTTTTTTTATTTGTATTTCATTAAATCAGCACGTGCATTGTGAGTGATTAATAATGAAAATATTTCGTGAGACTTTTACGAATACTACTTTAGAAAAAGACAAACCAAATTACAAAATAACATGATTTTTGTGCTCATTTGTTTATTTTGAAAATAGGTTGGGGAAAAAAAATTTAAATAAATAAATGTCCTGAAGTAACGTTAAACATCAAAGGTACTTACTAATCATTACACTTGCTATTTTCGCAATGCAGTCCTTCAGCTCAGATACTTTGTAAAGTTAATAACTTATAAACTTTCATATTTTTAACAATTTAATCATAACATTAATAACTTAACATTCATGAACTTGCAAATTTATCATTCAGTTATACAACACACACTTCAGAATTTCATTATCAAGCGCTCACACGTTTATTATGCAAAAAAGAATATTGCGATCAATGACCAGCACTCATAAGTGCTGCTGCAGTCTTGCAAACCCTAACTACTGCAGTCTTGCAAACCCTTGTTCAATAAACTAAGGATTCTTCCTCTACCAGGCATGTATATATTTGAAATATTGGTCTTCATAAAGTAGATTCTCATTGAAAACAAAGACACTTTTACTCTAAATTCCAATGTACATGTTCCCCACTCTGAAACTACACTTTATCAAAAAAGTACCCTAATAGAGGGCATAGATAGGCATTAAAGGTAAATTGAAAGTTTTTCTGCTTAACAACATGCTCTACAGTGTGAAGGAATATTCAAATCACAATATTTCCCTTAAAAAATATAAATAAATAGAAATTCTTATCCTATTTGATTTTCTGTTTCATGTTTACTGTTTCGAGCTGAAGCAAAGTAAAAAGAATTGGCATATCACGTCCTGTGATGTAATGGAGAATGCCTAACCAAAATTTCTGTTTCTTTCACCCAGGATTTGCTAAATGCATTAGGTGGTGCCTCCTCCTCACCATTTCAAGATACATAGAAAGTACCAATATTGTTAAAGTATATGTAGTTGCTACCATAATTGATATCATGTTCCATTTTAATATTAATATTATTATTAGAAGTAGCATCAGTAAAATGACAATAACAAGTAAATTTTACTTTTACTCTAAACATGAAACTTTACAACTGTACAAATCTTGATATGTTAAATTATTTACTACAAAAAGGATTGTCTACTGTATATATTAATCTATCTGTAGCAAGTATTGTAGTCTAATTCCTGGGCCAATGACCCCATCTCGATCAGGTTTTTTGCTCAGTTTCCCTGATCCCTTGAGCAATACTGAGATGCCCCCCTTGTTTCGCTACTGGAGAACTGTGTCCAAAGTTTAATAAATTCAAAAAAGAACTGAAAATGTGGTTACAAAACAATTAAATAGGCCAATAAATAAATACTTTGATGAGATAACATAAGGACTGCAGAAAACCAATATTTATGCGTAAACACTATACTTAGGATAGTTACATAATTATTTTGTGTTATTTTTGGTATACATACTAGTATGTGTTATACCTAAGTGACTATATTAGAAATAAGAACATAAAACTACCTATTTAATTGTATATATTAATTAAAAATTTACTGTTATAAAAACTGCAAGTATATGGACATAGAGCAAAATTTAAAACTATTGATAAAAAAGGTAAAACTATAATGTATTTTTTCTTTTAATTTTGTTCCTTTGTAAATATACATAAAAATATTTAAAATGTTAACCATTGTTTTAATCGTGTTATATATTATATCACTGTAAAACCCAATATTGAAAATTGTTACAAATATGACTTTTATGTTTTTAACTTTACAATGAATTATTTATGGTAAAATATTTCATAAGAATCGGTTTTTATGTAATAATATTAGGTAAAATTATAGTATGTCAACATTATGAAGTTAAAAAAGAAAATACTGTACAACTCTGTAATAATGGGCACCTGATGTTAAAGTCAGTTTGACTTATCAGGACCCAAAACAAATCTGATGGAAAATATTATATTCTTATTCTTATCATCATCATCATCATCATCATCATCATCATCATCGTTTCGTGAATACCCGCATTCTATTTCCATTACACACAATGTCATAAGCGTGAATTTGAGCTTTGCAATAGGTACAGAAAAATTCGAACTAGTTAAATACAAATGTTAACGATATTTTTCCAAAGCTGACTCCAAAGAATTCGTGATGAAATTACCGTCCACAACCAACCTGGGTGCGCTACTACTGACAGCGGTCGTATTTTCCTCGTATCTCCCGCCTCGGTGTGATAACTTATCTCCAGGAGAAGAAAAGTATTTTGCCTTCATCAGGAAGGTTATAAGAACCGTAGAATATGTCATGATTCAACACATTAACACTGCGCATGAAATGAACGAAACGCTAAGTAGATATACTGTACTACAGCAAATCCTGGGGATATAATCAGACTCAACATAAAATGTCGGTCAAAAATGACTGGCAAAATGTTTCTTTCCTGTTTCCCCCCCTCACTTTCGTTTTGAAAAAGATGTATAGCATGTGATGCATATTATGCAGTGTCAAAAAGTATATTCTTCACTCTTCCCTTTTCCCAGCTATCCCGGGTCTATTTTTTTTCTGCACCTGCAGCATCTCTCTGCTGCCCTATCTGTAAACACATCCCACAATCCGTTTTCATGCGCCATTCAACAAGCGTGGAATGGATTTGCTGCCAGGATAGAGACGATGATCGAAGCA